ATCACAAAGCGGGGTCACCACATGCTGAGGCGCACAGTGCACAGAAGTCACCAACTTTCTGCAGTCAGTAACTACAGAACTCAAAACGTTCTGTGGTTTTCGAATTGGCACAAAAACTGTGTGTAGCCTTACATCACCAAGTGCAATGTAAAGCTATGGATGCATTGGTGTAAAGCATACCCAAACTAGACACTAAAGCAGTGAAGACGTGTTCTCTGGAGTGATGAATTACTCTGTCTGGCCCATCCCATGGACGAGTCTGGGTTTGGCGGTTGCCAGGAGAACAGTACTTGCCTGACTGCAATGTGCCAAATGTAAAGTTTGGTGGAGGGGGGATTATGGTGTGGGGTTGTTTTTCAGGGGTTTGGCTTGGCCCCTTACTTCCAGTGAAAGTAACTGTTAATGCTTCAGCATACCAAGACATTTTGGACAATTCCATGCTCCCAACTTTGTGGAAACAGTTTGGGGATGTCCCCTTCCTGTTTCAACATGACCACCAATGTGCACCAATGCACAAAGCAAGGAGCAAGGTCTATAAAGACATGGATGAGCGAGTTTGGTGTGGAGAACGTGGAGACCTTAACACGAATAATTAGAAGGGAGACTGCGAGCCAGGCCTTCTCATCCAACATCTGTGCCTGACCTCACAAATGCGCTTCTAGAAGAATGGTCAAAAATTCCCATGAACACGCTCCTAAACCTACTGCGGTAACGTGAGCCGCCAAATGTGAAACCGTGGTCAAGCCAACCCAATATTAATATATTACCGTGGTATGTATTTGTGTTCAAATAATCACTAAGAACATTGCAAAAAAATGTGTATGTATCTTTCAGGACCTTCGGCTCGCTCACAGCCCTTCCTTACCATACTTACACTGCTTTTGGCGCAACAGAAATCAGCCGGCGGCTGGTCTGACCACGGTTTCGCATTCAGCGCTCACATTACTGCAGTCTAAACCTTGTGGACAGCCTTCCCAGAAGAGTTAAAGATTAATCTTCGTGTGCATAAAGGCAGGCGTCCCAAAACTTTTGGTAATATAGTGTATATCGTGTGAGTCTTTTGGAGACTGCAGTCCTTTTACATTGTTAGTTCAGTGTCCTGGACAATGTCACACTTAGGTGAGACAAGGAGTATCCCTTTGATGTGGTAATAAAACAAAGAATAAGGTCAGTTGCCACGGAAACATGTGTGGGGGGCCAGTTTTGATAGGCTGTTCAGGGAGATGCCAATGGCTGGCTCGTGTCCCTTTGTCAGTTTAACAGTCAGGACCCGCGTTATCAGCTACAGAATCAAAAAGGTGCCAGTTTTATGGTCGGGATAGCACTTAGAGAAAGCAACTTTGACCCCTCCCCTTCTTCTTTGGGGAGGAGAAAGGAATTTAGAGTAGCTCCAAATTTATTCAATATGAAATGCACAAATCCACACCGTTGTTCACTATTCAATTCAATTCAATTCAATTTTATTTATATAGCACCAAATCACAACAACAGTTATCTCACAGCGCTTTTCATAAAAGAGCAGGTCTAGACCGTACTCTGTGATGATATTTACAGAAGCCCAACAGTTCCCACCAAGAGCAAGCACTAGGCGACAGAGGCAAGGAAAAACTTCCTTTTAAGAGGCAGAAACCTCGAGCAGAACCATGGCTCAGGGTGGGCGGCCATCTGCCTCGACCGGTTGGGGTGAGAGAGAGAGAGAAAGAGAGAGAGAAGAGAGTGAAAGAGAGAGAGAGAGAGAAAGAGAGAGAGAGAGAGAGAGAGAGGGATGTAAGGAGAGGGAGAGAGGAGGGAGGCAGCCTACACAATATACACACAGAGGTACAGACAGCGAAGGTAATGTTGCTATAAACTAAATGAAAAATGGTACAGATATTTATAATAGTGTTAATGGTAACCATCGTAATGTTAATGATTATAATAACAATAAGACTAGCAACAATAGTCGTTGCAGTAGAGGGTGTCGAGCAGGAACACGGGGGCAGCAGGCGACCCGCAGCCACAGATCCAGACTCCACAGCTCCAGAGCCAGAAAACCTGCAGGAAGTGACAGGAGGAGAGAGGAGAGGGACGAGAAAGCACAAGACTACCAGAAAGGGGAGAAGTTGTGTTAGTAACATGCAATAATGGGATAAGGTTGCATACAGAGGGAGAGAAAGTAGAGGAGAGAGGAGCTCAGTGCATCATGGGAAATCCCCCGGCAGTCTAGGCCACTACACCTGGTATATTGTTAAAAAATAATTGTATAATAACTGTTGTATATTTGTTTCTTTTCATTAAATTTACAGTTGCAGTTGTATTCTAGGTGTAGTAGAAGATATTCATTTGTATGATAATCTTCAGCATGATGGTTTTAATGGTGATATTGCCTTTAAAATATAGATTTTATACCACACTAGGATGAAAATATCGTTTTCCTTTATTGAATCTCCATTTAGTCTGTAATGGCATAATAAGTAGATGCATTTATGGATTCATATTCCTTAGCTTCTGACCTATCAAAGGAGACCAGAATTATGCATCTGGCCTAATGAGTCTAGGAGTTATTGCCGATTCATTTAGGGTATGTTATTTTGAGTGTTTTTCCCCGAAATAGGTGGCAGTTTCCAACAGTTCAATTATTCAATTGTGTGGATACTGTGCTGGCTGCTTTTGCACTAGGAGACAGATGACACAAGATGGCAGTGTCTGAAAAGTTTTCAGACACATTTGGATTTAATGAAAGTTTTGGGATTTTACAACAATGTTTTTACGCAGAGTAAAACAGTTCTTATGGTTTTAATTCAAAATGGCTATTAATCCTAATGTTTTTTTTTTAACAACAATATCTAAATATTGCTATTATGAGTTAAGTCTATTTTTGAATGAAAGGTCACATTTGATTATTAGGGACATTAAATTGTGTCCACAATGTGGCAGTTAAACCCACCCCCATCATACTTCTTTAAAATGCAGCATTCATTCTGGAACAGAAAGTGTTTGTGGCCTGGATGTGATTTTCTTCCGGATGTGTAAACAAGGAAAACTCACAAGGTTGTTTGTCTCTGTTTGGATGGACTTGGGGAGAACATACTGTAGCTACATGACAGTCTTTACATGATGCAGTGGGTACAAATACAATGTGAGAAGAGCTGACACAAGTACATGTTAGTCTCTGGTTACAAATTGTCTGAGAAACAGCACTAGTAAAAGCCCTGTGTGGTCCTGTGAAAATATTATCTTTGATTAACATCGGAAAATGTTTTTAGAAATTATTACCATCAAAATAACCACATTAAAACTGTCCCCACACAGGCTGTTTGACTAAAAACAGTTTCTTATGAAAAAAGTTAATTTACTTGATTGAAGAGGCACTGACTGAATCACTGACTCACACATCCTCTGAGCTGACGCAGAGGCGTGTTTCAGTGAGGATTGTGAAGTGGGAGGAAGAGGTCCAAGGTTTGAAAACAATGCTTGAAAGAAGGCGGTTATCTTCTTGGCAAGCATCAATGACCGAATTAATCATAATTTATAGGGTTTATTTTTCAGAACTAAACTGCCTT